TTCTAGCAGTTAGGAATTTGCTTCCACAGTGTAAATAAGACCTTGACACATAGGATTTTGAATTATAATCCTGCCTCTTTTTCAAGATGACCTTTCAAGTTTAGTAACATCTTGAACATCAGATTCTTCATTTGGAAAATAGTGAATTATCCTTTATTATTGTTTCATATCTGGAAACATCTTATAAATTATAAAGCATCTTTACATATTAGATAATAACTATAGTTTGTATGGTACATATAAAATATATGAAAAATCACTCATATAATTTCATAAGGAAATCCCATTTCTCAATGTTAGATAAAATTATTCTAAAAGGCATTTTCCTTTGAACTCAAATTTGTTTCCATGTAGTATTATACATTATGACTTTTTTGTAAAAGAGCAGAATGGTCTAGCTTTTCTGCTATATAATTATGTAATAATTATATATGTATATAATCAAGACATGTAATAGCCTCAAACTCTATACATTATAAAAGTCTATCCTTAATTGAAGAGTTTTCACTTTTCTAGAACTTTAGGAACACAGTTGGATCTCTAGTAAAATGTTTAAAAGGCATTTGAAATAAAGGAGACCCTCTGAGTTTAAGTGTATTCCTGTGGCTTCAGTCCTATATATAACTGAACATTATATTTAGTTGGATAAATTGTTCTAAGATACCCTACTGAAGTTAAGTTGTAAAATTATGGTTTATATTATATAGTAAATTTCTATACTGTCTTTAGGGGGCAGTGCTATACCACCGATAAATTCCTTTATTTGTGCTAAAGCTACTGGTAATGGTTAATAAAAAATAAACCTAAAATAGCAATGACAGTATTTGTGATACAATATGTGTACCCCTTAATATTAGTTAAATTTTCTAGGCAGTCAAATGAAAATGACAGTATACTCAATTGCTAATTCATCTAGTAAATATTAAGTTCCATTATGTACAATCAATTGTATGATTGTGAAAATGCAAACCTTTCACGTAGCTTACAATTCAACAGGGGAAATAAATCACATCTGTATGTGTATGTTGGTATGCATGTACACTGTATGTACATAGAACTCTTTCAGATAAACATAATAATAAAAATAGCAATATTATTGCGCTTACTTTTTGTGGATAAGGAAACTGAAGATTAGTAAAATCATGTGATTTTTCTTCAAGTCATGAAGGCTGGAACTTGCAAAGCTAGGACTTGAATGTAAACTTATTTGAAGTCAATGCCTTTTGCCACTTTGTCATCTATCATTTTAAATATATATGTGAAATATATAAGTATAATTTTGACATCTGGATGTTCAGAAGAGAGTACCTATTTCAGTGAGAAATAAGGAAAATTTTAGATAAAGGATAAAATCTGAACTAAAATTTCAATCTCTAGGATTATAAGAAAATAAGAGCTAAAAATAGTAGGTAGCATCTTTTGAAATCTTATGAACTGTCAGGTATTTTATATCCATTACCTCATTTGATTATTATTTTTTATATTTTTTATTGTAAAAATACTGTACAGAGGGGTTACAGTTACACGAGCAAGATAATGAGTACATTTCCTATCAAGCATTGTTACCTCCTCCTTTGTTTTTTCCCTACTATCCCTTCCTTCCCCACCTCCCAATTCCTCCCCACCCCATTTAATTAGAAAAAACAAAAACAAAAACAAAAAACCCTGCTATTTTCCCATGGCACAAGGCAAGTGAGACTGACTTGTTCATATCTACTGAAAATTGAATCACTAACAAGTATGACAGTTGGAACTTGAATCCAAGACTCTGTAATTTTAGAGACTAAGCTCTTAACCACAACAGTTTGCTATATAAAGAAGTAAAGTAGAAGGTACAAAATAAACGAATAAAAAAACACTGAAACATGATTAGGCAAGTGTAAATAGTTCCACTTCATTACAATCTGGGTGAATATTATGGATAAGAAAAAAAAGAGAAAAAGTTTGATTATAGAGAATTTGGTTATTATTTTCCATGTAGCAGAAAATAGAGAATCATAAGCAGGAAGGAGACATAAATATCTTATTCTTTATAAAGAAGATGGAGATGGAGTTTCACTCTATAATTGAATTAAATAATTTTAGATCCATTAACAAAACCCAAGCAGAGCTGTTGAAATGTTGATGTATAAAACAGTGGTAGGTCTTAGCCAAGAATGTAATGGTTTATTGTGCCATGACATGAATTGGTAAAGAAACTTCTGATAGTTTAATACTTTTTCTTTTTGCAGATAATATTGATCAGACATATAAATGTCCTTGTTAGATTAAGGTTTTAGAATTTCCATTTTTTTTTCACCCAGTGAATCTCCAGAATTAAAAGTTCATGTGCTCATCATTTTTTTATTGTTAATTTGAGAAGTGTTTATTTTGGAAGCTATGGGCTTCTACATACAAATTGCAGAAAATGTCACTGTATGTCACAGATGGAAGAATGCTTTCAGGAGTATTATAAGTAGAGACATTAAGAAATATGTCTCTTTGGTTTAAGCTACAATGACATAATCCTGGGTTTTGTGTGTTTTAAAAAAATATATCCTCTTTTATAGTACATTATTCTGTGTTTATGTAACAGTGGGGAATTGGGAAAGGCCTATGGTTTGGTCATTACCATCTCTGTGACTTTTGGTTTTGCCTTTGTATGCCTTATTTCCTCATTTATAAAACTAGAGGAAAATGCTGTTTGCCCCAAAGAGCTGTTGTATAAATTAAAATAATCCATGAAAAATAGTTCTTTTGCACACAGTCACATAATTAAGTTTTCCACATAAATACAGATATTATTGTATTTCCAGACAGTAATTGAGGAAGGTATTAATTTATTATCGCTTAGTTATCAGAAATTGGGGGAAAGCGAAGATATGGATATAGAAAAATTCCTTGAAGTAAGAAAAAGAAACTTATATTCCAATTTAGAAAGAAACCACTTTTTAAAAAGTGTGTGGAATATTAACAATCAAGTATATAGAATATTTTTGATAATCTCAGTACTTAAGACCTATCTATCAGTGTTGTGCTGAGCAGTATGAAGATTTTTATATGTTTATTATTTTCATTTATATAGACATATTAAAAATTTCAGTCTGCTGGATAGTCTACAGACTTTAATATAAAATTTTTCTTTAGTTCCTGCAAAATTTCAGTTTCTTTGACCTTCCAGTTTCAATTTTTTTCCCTAAATGTTCAGATGTTTAGGATTCCTGTTGACCAAGTTTTGCACCCCTTTATTGATCTCTTAGTCTTCTTAACATACAACTTTTTCTTTTATTCTTTATTTTGGGAAATATCCTCAAATTTATTTTCCAAATATTCAATTACATTGTATATATGTATACATGTATAAATGTATGTATGAAATATGTGTATACACATGTTTGTGTATATTATGCATGCATGCATGCATTTTGTGGCAATCTATGTTTTAAAAATACTTTGTCTATTAGAGCCTTTCTTCAAATGTGTAATGATTATTGTTTATAGTTAATGAAAACACTAGATACTGCTTATTTTTATGGAATTTGTTGAGCGTGGGCTTCACAGTAGGAATTAAGATGTAGAACCACCATTTTCTTGGTTATTTATAAATCTTTTGTCTTAGGAGATTGCCTTAGTTCATTGTTACAAATTTGTACCACACATGGGGTAAGCTTTAAAAATGCAGGGTTATTTTTGGCCCACAATACTTGTGATTTAAGGCTGAAGGGTCATATCTGGTGGTAGCATCCTGACACACCTGTGTATCCTGGTTTCTTTCTTTTGTAAACTCAGCAAGATTCTTTCTGGGATCTGAATGACTCATCTCCCAAAGATTCCATTTCCAATCACCATAGCTGGATTAGGTTTCTACCCTCTTAATAATTCACAATAGGCATTAAACTACAAATGAGTTTTAAAGGTGACAAACTATATTTAAACTCTATAGATAAGTGCATTTTAGTGTATTCTGTACCTGGGAAATACCAAATAAAACATTTATGTTTTCTACAGCAAACATGAGAAGACACTGAGTGGGTTGGGAATTTTCATTTATATATATGTATATATATGATATTAATTCTCATTTTTAGAGTCTTTCTGAATATGGATTCTTAGAATCCATAATCTCTTTGTTTCAACAACTGAAAAAATACATTTGCAATTTTTGTGGGGTGTTTTTGCCAGGTATTTTTTTTTCTTTTCCTGGCTTCCTGGCTGGGTAATGAGCCTACAGGCCTAACATCTTTTGATATTGTTTACCCTGTTTTAGTCTCATAACTTCACTGGTAGTCAGTCCCTCCAATTATCCCCCCACCACAAACATCTTACAATGTTTTGAAGTTTATTATTAAAACAGTTAATACCTACCTCTTCCTCCAAAATTACCCATCATTGCCCAAACATTTTCTTGAGATTCTTCATCAGCAAACACTTCTACTATTGTCCTTGTTCTTGTGGTTTAAATATTTTAATAAATTCTCTACTGTCACTTTGGTGAGAATTTGGATGTGACAAAACTAATGTTGTATGGTATCAACATAGAAGTCTTGTTAAAAATTTTAAAATGCTATGTTGTATGTATACAAATTTATAAAGTTTGCTTTTGATGGCATGGTGAAACTTCCATTTTAGCCTCCAATTATTTCATTAAAGTGTTTTCATGTTGGTCCTCTTAATTGCATTTTCTTATAATTTTATCCCAAAGTTAAATTCTTAATAAGCTATAAGATTTTTCTCATTTACTCCTCTTTGCAGACATTCTTGAGTCATTTTTTATGTCCTGTCTTATATTATGAACTATATATTACATATATTTTTTCTCACTCAGTTTTTCACTTTCAACATAAATTGAATTTTACATATTTTTTGGCTCAGTCACATGGCAGACCTAGCTAACTGGCTTGAAGAGAGCTGACTTTTGCTTGCTAAGATAACACCACAAGTAATTTATATAAGTTGATTGATGTTAACATATATAAACAACACTGATATAATATATTGGTATAATATAAATTTAATTTCAGAGAACTTCATCTACAATAAATTTGTCACCAGGAGAAGTGGAAGAAGATGATGATGATGAAAATACTTGTGGGCCCACAGGACTTTGGGAAGCATTAACCCCTTGTAATGGATGTAGGAACCTTGGCTTTCCCATGCTTGCACAGGTAAAGGCTTGTTTTTATTAAGGTACAATAAAACATTAAAAAACAGTTGCCTACTTGAGAGTAAACTTTTCCCCTCAAAAACTTACTATCTTTTTTCTTTAGAATTTTTATTCAGTTAACTTTTTATGCATGTGTGTACAATATGAAAAACCATAATTTACATAAATTTTATTTTTTAAAGGCTGGTTTGCAAACTGCTCATTCATGGCATTTCCTGTCTGTAGTCCTAGCTACTCAGGAGGCTGAGATCTGAGGATTGTGGTTCGAAGCCAGCCTGGGCAGCAAAGTTCTTGAAACTTTTATCTCCAATTAACCATTAAAAAGTCAGAAGTCAAAAAAAAAGTCAGAAGCGGAGCTGTGGCTCAAGTGGTAGAGTACTAGTGTTGAGAAAAACCTTAAGGACAGCGCCCAGGCCCTGAGTACAAGCCCCAGAACTGGCACTCCCTCCCACTCCCAATCTTCTTTGTTTGCAATACAGTTCTTGTGTATGAGGTTTTTAATACTGACTATTCAGAAATAAATTATTTTAAAGAATGCCATTAAAAATTAAAGTGATTGATAGATCTAGTTACAGTTTAGAATGTTTAAAAGCATACCCAGTAAAATACACACACATACACACACATTTGTTCACAAAACAATGGGAACATTTTAGAATAAGGCACATATGCACTACTGAGGATTTAGAGGTTCATTCCAAAAGTGAGAAGATAACAAAATACTAAAACATTTCATACTACCATTTGAAATCATTTCGTTATTCATTAAGTCAACTTTAATTCCGTCACTTCAATTTTAAATTTCTGTTGTGTTTTGGATCATAATCGCTTAGGGCAGTTTTAGAAATGAGCAAAATATTTCAGTTAGAAAGCTTGAATCTACTATGAAAATCTATGTACAAATGAAAAAAACAATAGAAAAGAATATAATATGGAATGATGGTAAGAAATTGGAGTAAAATAGACAGCTAATCACAGTAATTGTCGGGAAATGTGAAGTATAATATTTTTCTGCTTTGCAAATATAAATATGCTGTGTGACACTATTATTTTTTACTTGTGTGCATCACAGTTGGGTCATCACTATGAAAATTACATTTTTTTGGTGGAAAGCTAAACAGGATATTTAAATCAGCATATAGTATTTAAAATATCTTCATAGGAATTTTAAAATAGCTTGCATATTTTTATAGAGTTAATAGGTACTGAATTGTGTGTTCCATAAAGGTAGAAATTCAGTTCTGTTTAAAAATTATGTTAAAAATCTGTGCTATAATATCAAGCATAGTTCCTGGCAGAAAATAGGAATGATTGAATGACTCAATGAACAAATATGTATGTTCTAGGTTCTAGATCTTCACTTAATGTTTTTACACATAGTATAGATTTTTACCTCATGAGTGAAGGAGAAAAGAAAATGAACAAGAGTAAATTGTGTTTTATTAATATACTCTCATTTGCTTAGCAATTTTATAATACTGGATTGTGTTTATTTTTTCTCTTGTAAAATTAATGTCTTTGTAAAGATATTTTAATTATTGCTGTGTCTTGAAAGTAGAAATCTTACAACAAAATTAAAATATTAGGGCTCTTACTGTCATACACAGATTACTTGATAACTGAAGTTATTAATAATATCCTTATATCTAGTTCTGCAACACCTTACTAAGAATTAGTTTTAATATTTAAAAATTTTTATTTTGTTAGGTTTGGTAGTATATTCCCTTGGTTCATAATTTTTGTTAGATTTTTATTTTATGATTAATATTACTTTATTACTTTATTTTCTTACAACCTAACAAATTTAATAACTTTAGATTCTTTCCAGGACCAGTTTTTTCTAACCATTTCATCCTGAGTATTTTGGACATAATTTTGAAGTATAAGTTACTTATTTTCCTAAAATATAAACTACAAGGCATAGTGATGTTGATAATACTTTATGTTGATTCAAAATCATTAAATGATAACACATTAAAATCATTAACTAACTTCAGTGTTTTTTACTATTTAAATTACAATGTGAAGTCTAAAAAATATACCTATTAGAATTTTATTATTTCATTAAAATACAAATTTACTTTATCTTTTTACTTTAAAATACAAATTTATTTTATGGATTTAATCTTAAAAATATGAAGTGGGATTCTTTCACTAGTGTTCTTTATAAGTTCTTATGGTGTATGTGTACGAATATTACTATCTATGGGCTCTCTAGCCCGTAAACATTATTTTGCAATTAACATTATTTTGTGATTAAAATATATGTATGTATAAGTATACCCTAACTCAGGTTTTCTGGATGTTAGGTTCAGCTATTCACAAATAATTTTAAAATGTGTTCCTATAATTTATTTTTAATTTATTTAATTTCAAATTCTTTTTGATTAAAAGAAGTAAGAGGATATGTGTTGCTTCCAAATTTGATGAGACCCCTTTGACTTAATAGTAAGATCTTGTGGTATGGAAGATCAGGATTTGTAGTCAGAAGCAGAATGAGAAAGTATATACTACAGGAATGTGAAGTTTGTAAAAAGGTTGGGTCAGATGAATAGTATTTATACTGATACTGAAGTATTAGTGAAGAAATGCAAACTATGGCATACTTTTAATAAGCATCCATTCAGTGATTATCCAAGGACCACAATGTGGCAAGAATGCCACATTGAATATCAAGTGTGTCTCTACCTATAAACTGTAAAGAGCCGACACCCTGTCTGTAAAGAGCTGACAACATGGTTGTTTTAAAGTCTTTGAGGAGCTGGCAGTGGTGGCTCATGCCTATAATCCTATAGTTACTCAGGGTGCTGAGACCTGGGCAGCAAAGTCCCTGTGAGACTCTTATCTCCAATTAACTACTCAAAAACTGGAAGTGGTGCTGTGGCTCAAGTGATAGAGCACTAGCCTAGAACACAAAGAGGCTCAGTCCTTGAGTTCAAGCCCTACAAACAACAAAGAAAAAAGTCTTTTAGGGATTCACCAGCATCAAATGAAATTCATTGAAATAAGACTATATATGACATGAAAATTTTTATTGTTAAAAATAGGTGTTTTTATTTTTTTTTCAATTTCAATTATTTGCTCTAAATTTTTCAAGAATACAATCTTGATGTTTGAAAAACTAAAACACACAGCCTACCGATGCTTTTCAAGGTTGGTAGCTATTTTTTATCACAAACTTAGTTTGTGTTTTATTGAAAGCTATTAAGTAGAGCATTTTAGAAAAACTGTTACATCAGTAACCATAGGCACTGTGCATAGAAGGTTTAAAGAAAAACCATTTCCTTACAATTTCCTATAGAAGCCTTTGGAATCGGTGTAATTAATTTTGTGCCATGTAAATTTTGCCCAGATTTATAGCATTGGCATACATTATGTTGTACATTGATAATCCTTAATTTAATTTAATCCAGCAAATGTTCCAAATATCTTTTATAGTAAATTAATACATGTATTTAGATACATGAGTATTATGGAAAAAGTATATACCCAATTGGGAGCCAGGTTACCTGTATGTGGTCCTGGATATATCACTTTTAAACACAAATTAGAACTATTTTCTAGTTTTTGCCTAAGTTTGGATTAATCCTATATTCAAGTTTTAGTTTTTTTTCTTATCGCCAAGAATCCTAAAATTAGAATGAATAGGCTAAAACATGGGTATTTTGGAAGTTCATGCTTATGAATATCTTATATAACATTTTATCCTCTCATTGTAACTAGACTGAAGTTTTGACAAGCAATTCCTTTCAAATTTGTGAAAATTTAATTTTTAGCACTAAGATTTGGTGTCAATAGAGATTTTTTAAAGTTTCAAATCAGTTAAAGTAAGATTTAAGTTAACAACTTAGAAGGGAATGCTCTTTTAGAAAATAGGGTAAAACTCAAATTTATTTCACCACACTCCTGACCATAATAATCGTTACTGTTTTCAGAGTGCCTATGATGTACCAGATATTTCACAAGTATAATTTCTGATTTTCAAGGATAGGCAATAAAGGAGACTCAAAGTCAGTTCATGAAGTGGCAGTGCTATGATTTAAATCTAGATTTTTTAAATAGGCTACTGGGCTGCTTTTCTGGTTTTGCTTACATTTTCTTGCTTCCAGTTGGTTGCTGTTATTCCTTGATTTGAAAACCTTGATTTTCAAAGTTTCAGAATTCTTTTTGGTTGTGATGCAGGATCCTGTCTCTGAGGGTAACCTCCAGCATTTTACTTTGGCTTCTATTAATCACAAATATGAAGCTAAAGGAAAGTTAAAGAGAGTCCAGAGTCTGATCATGAATTTTTAAAATTTTTATTGCTATATTTCCTGTGTTATAGAGCAAATCTTGTAATTTAAATTGATGGATTGTGTCATAGTGAAAGGTATTGCTTTTCTTCACAGCCTTAGATGATGTTGGTCTCTACACACATGTAGTAGAACTTGGAAGCTCTTTGCTGAAGAGTTAATCCTGCTGGGTGGTGACACTCTGACTTCCATTCATGAATGTAGCTTTCATTCTGCAGAGCTGAGATGAAAGGTTCCTAAAAGGAACCTTTCTTTACCTAATTTGGCAACAGGCTTGCCAGTAGTCTTTGATCCTGCAATCACCATACTTATGCTGCCTTCTGATGAGAGGCCCACAGCTTTTGCTGATAGGCTTGAAGTTACCCTTCAAGGACAGAATGTGCTTGCAGTTCATATATTAACTATGTTAAATTCCCTAAGCATCCAATATGACTTTGCTGGCTGGAGTTTCTCTTGGATCTATGAACATTGCTCTAGCCAGTCTTCTTTCTCTTGTGAGTCTGCCAGCTTGGTTGCAGCCAAACTCACGGCACCTTCAGTGGTACTTATTGACACCACTACTCCTGCTGCTACTCACATCCCATTATTAGATTTTGTGATGTGTGTAAACTTTTGAATTCTGTATATGTGGGAGGCAGTTTGGACTCATTCTTCCCTAGAATATCCAAAATAGGTGAGCCTAAACAGGTCAGGGTTCATCTGAAGGCTA